TGAGGGCAATGAATGTACAAATGTGCTTTACACAATTGATGTATGTATGGATTGTGATAAGAGTTGTATGAGCCCCTAATAAAAGGATTAAAAAATGAGTTTGAAGGCTCACAGCCACAAAACAAAATAAAATAAAATGAAAACCCTCTAGATTCCTTACCCCTCAGATCTAAATATTGATCTGGGTGGCTTTTAAAAAAGGAGGAAAAGTAAAACTGAAATGGGCTGAGAACCTTTAGTTACACGCAAGTTCATTTCAAACATTTGAAAAAAAACAAAACCTGAAATTCATTTAGGCTGTTTGTTATTGTATAGCAACAAGTTATTGTCCAATATCAAAAAGTTTTATAAAATAAAGATCATTGTTATATCTGATTTGAATGAAAGATTAAAGTTATTTGTAATCAGCATATCAATTAGGTATTTGTTAACTATTAATTCATAACAAATCACCCCAGTATGTGACAGTCAAAAAACAGCAAGTATTTATTACCTCAGAGTTTTAGAGAAGTGGATTAGCTCAATGAGTAGCTCTGGCTCGGGGAGTTTCAGGTCACTGTAGTCAGGATGTTAGCTGAGGCTCCAGTCGTCTGAAGGCTTGACTGAAGTTGGAAGATCTGCTCCCAGACTGTGCCCTCATCCTGAATGGAAGATGGGTGTCTCAATTCCTCTCCAGGGTAACTCTCCAGAGACTGTTGGCATGTGCTCATAACATGGCAGCTCGTTTCTCCCACAACAAAGTGACCTAAGAGAGCAGGGTGCAATCACTAATGTCTTTTATGACCGAGCATTGAGAGTCACACAGGATCACTTAGGCTATGTTTTGTTGGTCACACACCCTAACCCTAATAGAACGTGGGAAAGGTCTACATAACACCAGGAACAGCAGATGGTGGGAATTATTGGGAGTTGTCTTGGAGGTTGGCTGCAGCAAGTTATTAGCACATAAATTGCAAAAGAGTCATTTGAAAAGAGAGAATTGGTTGAAATACTTTTTCAGTCTGGTCATAAATGTCTGATTAGTCACTGTTGTATTTAAAAATTCCAAATGTGTGAGAATAGATTATGAATTGGAGCTCTTTTAAGAAGAAAGATTTGTGATTAACATCATGCTGGATCATGAATCCAGGCTTAAGGGGTGGGGTGGGGGATGGTCATCTATAATTAGTTTGACTCTACTCTATTTTGAAGTACAGTACAGTCTCTGATAGGATTATATCTATCTGACTTCAAGAAAATCCAATTAATACAATTATTCAAATTTAAACACCAACCACAAAAGCTAATGATGAAGAAACTGAAGAATTTTATCAATGTCTTGGGTCTGAAAATGATCAAACATGTAATCAAGATGCAATGATAATTATTGGCAATTGGAATGCAAAAGTTGGAAACAAAGAGGGAGAAACAATAGTGGGAAATATGGTCTGGGCAATAGAAATGAAGCAGGAGATTGAATGATGCAATTTTGCAAGACCAATGACTTGTTCATAGTAAATACCTTTTTCAGAAACACAAAAATTGACTAAACACATGAACTTCTCCAGATGGAATACATATAAATCAGATTGACTACATCTTTGGGAAGAGACACAGAAGCTCAATATCAGCAGCTAAAACCAGGCAAGAGACTGACTGTTGAACAGATCATTAATCACTCATACGTAAGTTCAGGTTGAAGCAGAAGCAAATGAAAACACGTCAACGAGACCACAATGGTGCCCTTGAGTGTATCCCACCTGAATATCTCAAAACCAGATTTGATGCATTGATCGCTAATGAGCTGTGGGAGGACATCAAGAACAGTCATGAAGAAAGCAAAGGGACATTAAAGAGACAGGAAAGAAAAAAAAAGATCAAAGTGGATCTCAGAGAAGACTCAAACTTGCTCTTGATTGTAGAGTAGCTAAAGCAAATGGAAAAAATGGTGAAGTTAAAGAGCTGAATAGAAAATGTCAAAGGGCAGCTCGAGCAGACAAAGCTAAATAGTACGATGAACTGTGCAAAGACCTGGAGCTAGAAACCAAAAAGGAAGAGCATTCTTAGCATATCTTAAACTGAGTTAACTAAAGGAAAAAAATTCCAAGCCTTGAGTTGCAAAATTAAAATATTCTAAGGGCGAAATATTGAACGATATAGGAAGCATCAAGAGCCGACAGAAAGAGTCTACATAGTCAGTGTACCAAAAAGAACTAGTCGCCATTCCATCATTTCAGGAGGTAGCACATAAGCAAGAACCAATGGTCCTGAAGAAAGAACCTGAAGGTCCACTGAAAGAAAACCCTAGTCAGAAGCAAGCTTCAGGAATTGATAGAATACCGGTTGAAATGTTTCAATAGCCTGCTGAAGCACTGGAAGCACTCACTTGTCTAGGTCAGGAAGTTTGGAAGACAGCTACTTGGCCAACTGACTGGAGGAATTCCTTATTTGTACGTAAAGAATGGTGACCCAAGAGAATGCTCAGATTATAGAACAATGTCATTGATGTCACATGTAAGTAAATTTTTTCTGAAGATCATCCTAACACAGTGGCAGTGGTACAATAACAGCATGCTGCCAGAGGTTCAGGCTGGATTCAGAAGAGGATGTGGAACAAAGCACAGCATTGCTGATGTCACATGGGTCTTTGCTCAAAGAAGAGAATTCCTGAAAGATATTTACTTGTGTTTTATTGCCTATGCTGAGGCCATGGGCTGTGTGGATCATACACTATGGATAGCCTTGAGAAGAATGGGAATTTCAGAACAGTCCATTGTGCTCCTGCTGAACTTGTGCATGGATCAAGAGGCAGTTGTGCAAACACACCAAGAGAACAAATACTGTGTTGTTTAGAATAAAGAAGGATGTGTGTCAGGGTTGTATCTTTTCACCATACTTATTCAATCTGTGTGCTGAGCAAGTTATCAGAGAGGCTGGTTTATATGAAGAAGGCAGCATCAAGACTGGAGGAAGGCCATTAACAACCTGCGGTATGCAGATGACACTGTCTTACTTGTTGAAAGTGACGAGAACTTGAAGCACTTGTAGCTTTCAGTATGAAGATCAAGGATTGTAGCTTTCAGTGTGGATTACAACTGTATGTAAAGAAGGCCAAAATCTTCACATCTGGACCGATGCAACCATTATGATAAATGGAGAAAAGTTTGAAGTTGTCAAGGATTTTTCTTGCTTGGATGCATAATCAGTGCTCATGGAAGCAGCAGTCAGGAGATCAACGATGAGTTGCCTTGGGTAAAGCAACTGCAGAAGACTTCTTTAAAGTATTGAACAGCAAGGATGTCACTTTGAAGACGAAGGCACATCTGCCTCAGGCCGTGATATTTTCAAATGCCTCAGATGCATGTGAAAGTTGGTCATTGAATGGAGAAGATGGAAGAGAAATCAATGTATTTGAATTGTGGTGTTGTAGAAGAATACTGAAAGTACCATGGACTGCTAAAAGGACACACTGATCTGTCTTGGAAGAAATCGGGCCATAGCGCTCCTTAGAGGCAAGGATGGCAAGGCATCATCTTACATACTTTGACGTGTAGTTAGGAGAGACCAGTCCCTGGAGAAGGACATCATGTTTGGTAAAGTGGAGGGGTGGCAAAAAGAAGACCCTTAACGAGATGGATTGACATAGTGCCTGCAACAATGGACTCAGGCCTAGTAACTATTTTAAGGACGGTGCAGCACCCGGCAGTGTTTTGTTCTGTTGTGCATAGTGTCACTATGAGTCAGAACTGACTAGACAGCACCTAACAATGACAACATACATTTGCATTGACAGAGAGGTGAATTGATCCAGTGGCTACAAAAATGGGCTCAAGTGTAAGAGAAATTGTTAGGGTGGCGAAGAAGTGGGTAGGTGGGAAGGGGTTCGGGAGTGTTTCCTGTGGTTGTACATATGATCGCGATGAGTTGTAACCAATATAATGGCACCTAACAACAAAAACTGTTCAATCGTGCTTACTCCCGCACAGGGTGTGTTCCTGTCACCCACAGGCCCGAAGCAAGTTGGGGAGAAGTGCAACCATCTTCTGTACCAGTGAGGGGTACAGTGTGTGGGGCATTCTGAGTTAGCTCCCCTTCCCCCTCTCCCCCTACAGAACCCCAGAGTGCTGTGGGAGGCCGAGTTCTGCAGGCTTACTTTAGGAAGCAGTCAAGAAGACTTTTTTTGGGGGGTGGTGAGGTGGGAGTTCTTGCATTGCTTCCTCCCTCTGAATTTCCAGGCTGCATCTGACACTGGTTTCTGGTCTCCTGGAGAGATGTAGAACTCAGGCTTTCGAGTCTTCTGCTTGCTTTGCAGTTTTGTTTGGAGAGGAAGTTACAGAGCTTCGGGATATGCAGCCATGTTGGAAGATCTAAAAATCATAAAGTATTTATTGCAAGCTGTGGGGAGGGTATTTTCCTTGACAAGTGAGCCCTTGTATGGACCATATGTTGTAGACTATTAAACATAAAGTGTGCTTTGAGTGTTACCCTAACTATACTCTTTATTATAACTGCATTTACAAGAAATGTGCCAAAAATACTTTTTTTTGTGTATTCACCATGGGCCTGTTGTGGAGAACAGTGTTGAGCACATCATACAACCTCCAGTTCCAAGGATTGAAATATCTTTTAGATCTCGGTGGTGGGCGTTTTCAAGAAATTGTGAATCTCACAGCTTATTGAGCGCGTTTCTTTGAGTTTGTCCTATGACTTTCATTTCTGGGTTCCACCTTTGTTAGGCCACAGCTCTTCTATCAATTTCCTGTATTGTCTTGGTTTGTCTGAAGTGGGAAGCTATATCACAGGATTTCAAATACCAGCAGGGTCACCCTTTGTGAAAAGGTTTCAGCAGAACTTCTAGATCATGAACAGACTGTGAAGAAGGAGTAAGCTGTCTACTTCTGAGAAATTAACCACTGAATATTTTATGAATGGCACCAGAGTACTATCAGATATAGTGCTGGGTGATGAGCTCTTAAAGGTTGGTGTGTACTCACAATGCAACCGGGGAAGACCTCTCTTGTCAAGGTGCAGTTGGCCTTAACGAAGTGGATGGAGTACTTGGGACCTTTATTTGTGGATGGGACAAGACAAAAATAAAAATAATGGTCAACCTCCATGAATAATTAGAACATAGAATGTATGAAGTAGGTTGTTGTTTGAGGTGCCATGGAGTCAGTCCCAATCCATAGCGACCTTACATGTAACAGAAGGAAACACTGCCTGGTCTTTGCCATCCTCACAATTGTTCCTATGCATGAGGCCATTGTGCAGCACCGTGTCATGCCAT